AAAAAAAAAAAAAAGATATTTTTCTTCGAAAATGTTCAGTGGAAAGGCTGTTGCTTAAACCTTGCATGCTCTGGGGACAGGCTGATGGTGCTGGGCTGCCAGCCGGACTTGGGAACACCTGGCCAGCCCAGAGCTCAGCCACAGATCGGCTGGCATGGTGGGCAGCCTGGGCAGCTGAACACTCCAGCCAGGCTGGGGCAGGGGGAGGCTGGGCAGATGGCCTTGCCCAGGGCCAGAGCTGGCCCCTCTACTCCCTCAACCCATTTCCCTGCCCCAGGACTGGCCCACAGGGGCCTGACCTGTGCCCTTCAACGAGTGGGGGATGCCTTTAATGACTGGGGAGCACTCTCAATGATTGGGGGCTCCTTGGGCCTGGGCATCTGGGGATGAGCCCAGGTAACACTAGTGGCTAGATCTGAGGGGCAGATGGCACTGGGGTGGCCTTGCGAGCCTTGCATTGACCAGGAGGGTGGCTTCCAGAGCTACCTTCTTCTGGCCCCTGCAGGGTTCCCCTGTCGATTCAGCTGTTTCTGCTGCTCTCTTTGTCCTTTGTCTCGCCTTCTCCCTCCCACCGTACAACCGCCGCCTCTCTTTGCCTCCCCCTGCCCACCCCATCTGCTCACCGGGCTGCCTCTTCGAACTGCCTGGCACTTCCACGAGGCAGCAGGGAGCAGGGGACAGCACCGGATCTTTGGAATCAGTCAGCCCTGGGTTCAAATTCTGATTCCAGCACTGACAAGCTATTTCTTTCCATTTAATATTTCGAATTTGGGCAAGTTCTTTAATCTCTCCAAGCTTTCACTGCCTCACCTGAAGAGTGAGATGCTCCCACTTGGCCCTCAAGACTATCCTGGGGTCTGTCAGGGCAAACTGCTGGTCAAAAATAAAAAAAAAAAAAAAAGATTATCCCGAGTGCTCAGTGTATGATGTAGTGCCAGTAGGCGGCAGCTTCCCCACCTGGCAATCCCAGGCCCCCAGGGAGACCCTACCTCCTGACACTCCTACCTGCCCAGGTGCCCTCTCTGCCTGTCTGGTAGGAAAGGGGAAGGTGGTCAGAAGGTGGTCAGAAGGTGGTCAGGTGGGTTCTGGTTGCCCCTGGCCCACAGCAGCTGTAGGTGTGGGGGAAGAACGACACCTGTGGGAGGGACCCTACTTTACTTCATTTCTGGGCAAAGCCTAGTATTTGATACTGCTGTAATTTGAAGGAACCAACTTAAGGGGCTGTGGTAAAACCACCAGGGTTAAAGGGGACAGAGTGGAGGATCAGGGCCTGTGTAACCAGGGGGGAAATCTTCTAGGCTGAGACCCCCTCCCAGGTTTTGGGGCAGAGGGCAAAGAGTGCCTCTAACCTCCAGGGATGGGAGTCTTGGCAGCTGGATGGAAGCCTGGGTGGAGTGGGGAGATCCTGCATCTTCTGGGGCAGGGGTGCTGGGGTGACTACTGGGGATGAGGGAGGAGAAGGTCCATAGGTGTGAGGCCACAGAGAGTGTGAGGCCACAGAGAATCTGAGGCTGATGTGCTGTGGAACCCTGGGCTGAGCCCACTCCCTCGCTGGGCCTGTTTCCTCATCTGCTAGATTAGGCTGATCATGATGCCCTACCTGCCTCACAGCGTGGGCTTCAGATCCAGGTAGAGAATCGGTGGGAGCGTTCTGTGATCTGTAAAGTCCTAATAATAATAATAATAATAACTATACGCTGGACATTACCTTGCCTTCCCTTGACTCTCTGTAACACCTGCTTCAATCCATGCAATCTAGCCCTGATTCATGTATTGACAGAATTAAAGAAACTCATAGCAGAAATCAACCACCCCTTTTAGTGCAAATCCCCACCCACCACACATGGTCCCCAGACCTCTGCTTGCATACCTCCAGGGACAGGAAGCTCACTGCTTCTCATGCTGAACAGAGATCTGTCTCCCTGGAATCTTTTCTTCTTAGGCCTAGCTCTGCTGTCTGGACTCACACATGCCAAGTCCCTTCGTCAGAGACTGGAAGTCCTGATCAGGCCCCTGAGGCTTCTTGAGGGGTGGGGTCTGGTTGTGAAAGCAGTCCCTGTCTATGGTAGAAGCTCTACGAGTCTTCCTTCATTACTCTCCTTTTCTTACCCCCACCCCCTCACATCCAACTCATCAACCAGTTGGTTCTGCCACAACACACTGCCCGAATCTGTCTGTTTCCTCCCTCTCTGTGCCATCCCTCTGGTTAAGGCTGTCTCCTTGTCCTCGAGCGATTGTGACACTGGTCCTCTGCCCCAGGCCTGATGCCCTTGAGTTCAGTCTCCACTTGGCAGCTCCAGAGAACTGTTAACAATGAGGAAAACATCATAGCACTTCCCTGGTTAAAACCCTCCAGTTACTTTTCATTGCGTTTGGGATGAAATCCAAAGCGCTTACCCTGGCCCTCGGGGCCCCAGCCTCCTGCTGCAGCTTCATTTCCCACAGAATAAATTCCAATGTGACTGCTTCAGAAAGACCTTCCTTGCCCCTCTAGCTTGAGTAACCCACCAGCCCCAGCCCAAGTCTTCTCTTTCACATTACCAGGTTTTATGATTGTTATTGCCTGTCACTCTTTGGAATTATCTTGTTTATTTGCTTATTTGTTTATCATCGGTATCCCCTGTTCCCATGAAAGTACCAAACTTGTCTGTGTTGTACCCCAGTGAATCCTAGCCCCTATAATATACCTAGCGTGTAGTAAGTGCTGAATAAGTATTTGATGCATGAATGAAAAATAACACAGAAAACAAGAAATAGGAAGAAATAGCAGATGATGCCATTGTGGCTGTAGTAGCAGTTAATGATATGACAGTTTTGTGTGTGCGTGTATGTGTGTGCACACGTGCACGTGGGTGTGTAAGCTGGGAATCACCTGCCCTTTTAATCACCTGGGCCTGAAGCACCGCATGCGTGGGAGACACACATGTCCCTGTGGGCCATGTTCATGCACACTCATAAGCACACACACAGGCATTTCGTGTTCAGTAGCAGTGTGACCTCTGGTCTAGTCTTTCGCCTTTTGGGCCTCCATTGCTCCACCTGTGGAATGGGGCTGGCTGGGGCTAGAGGCAGAGGCCTGGACGCCATGGTGTGCTGAGTTTCAGTGCTTGCCGGTGGCTGGAGCACTGCAGGCAGCAGGGGGCTCGGAGGCGGGAGGGCGCCAGAGGTGTTTATTGAAGTTTACCTCTGCCCAGGGCTGCTCCCTGCTGCCCTTGGAGGTGAGGATCTCACCCAGGCAGGAGGGAGTGGTCCCAGGTCAGGACATTGGCAGAAAAGCCTAGGGACATGAGTTTTGCTGCTGGGAGGTGTATTACATTCACAGTCGAGGTCTGTCGGATGCATCCGTGACTTCAATCTGATAAGTTTTCATTTTTGTTTGTGGGCTTGTTTTTTAAAAAAACCTTTTCCTTGCTACATTTATTTTACTTCTTGAACTTTTTCCTTTCAATTGCCATAAAAAAGATTTGCCATGAAATTAAAAAGGAGGAAAACTCTCCATCTGTTTTTCCACTCCTCCAGGCAACAGCCACTCCCTCTCTGCCCCCTTATCCTCTTCCTGTAATGGCAGTACTAGACCTTGCAGAGTATTTGGGAAGTAGAAGTGGCCCCAGGTTACTTAATCTCTCTGTGCCTCATTTTCCTTCTCCAAACAATGGAGGTAGTCATTGTTCCTTCACCCAGTTTTACAGATTCCATGAGTTAACTTTTAATTTGTCAAGGGCTGAGGAAGGTTCCTGGCACTTAATAAGTATGTTGTACATATGTGTTTACAAAAGACGAGTAAGTAAGAAGGAAAGGGCAGCCGTAATGCTGCCATCATAGCACAAAGGGCAGCTGTAGAAGTCTGTCTTTGGCATCAGAAATCAAGGGTTCAAGCCCCACTCTGCCCACACTCTCCATGGAGCCAGGAGCACGCATGTGGTTGCTTTCTCTAAGCCCCCACTCCTCCTGTAAAGCGGGTCTGTAATCTGGACCCTACGATGCCGCAGCATGGGTGAGGGTGACAGATGGGAGTGGGCCTCATACACCCCGCAACCCAACCCCCACCTGCACCCATTTCTCAGTTTTCCACCTCATTATTGCCACGGAAACATTACTCAGCATCACTGCCGGCCTCTTCGTTGATCGTTTTTAATGGCTGTGTACTACTCTCTTGGCAGGGGTGCCGTGAATCACTCCGTCATCTCTATTGTGGAGTGTTTAGGCAGCCTGCAGTGTCTTCTGTTATAAATAACGACTCTGTGCCCAAGAGGCTTCCCCTCTGAGCGACAGTTTTCCGGGACAATCTCAGGACATTCATTGGGGCTGCTTTGCTAGGGGGGGCTGAGGGAGGGTCCAGTGGCAGTGGCTGGAGGAGGCAAGTCCCTTCAAGGGTGGCCTGATACCCTTCCCCAGGGACATTCCCTTCCCCAGGGACAGCCCAACCCATGGCAGCATGGATATCAGGACAGCAGGACACTCTGCTAGTGATGAGCATGATGGGAAAGCACGAGGCCATGATGGGAAGGGCAGTGGGTACTATGGAGGATCAGGGCCAGGAGTTGGAGGAACTGTGTTTGCCTTTGCCACCCTCTCACTGTGTGACCTCGGGCAAATCCCTTCTCCTCTCTGGACCTCAGTTTTTCCCGTGCACCGTGGCCAGGAGGCAAGGGTTGATCCAGAGCTGTGTTGTCCAGTGTGGTAGCCACTGGTTACATGTGACTGTTTAGATTTAAATGTAAATTAATTAAATTAAAACAAAATTAAAAATCAGTTTTTAATCACACTATTCACATCGCAATATCCACATGTGACGGTGGCTGCCGTATTGGACGGTGCAGAGGCAGAACATTGTCATCATGGTGGAAAGTTCTGTTGAACAGTGCTGGTCTAGAGATGCTTTCAGGGATCTTCCTTTGGTCTCACCTTCACCAAGGTGTGGCCACCATCTGTCCTACCTCCTGTACCCCTCGGGCCCCTTGTGAACCCTACCACTCACTCTTGTTTCTCTTCTTTTCTAGGGATCTTATGACCATGACCTGGCTACCTTGAGTCTGCGGGGCTACACAGCCTTCAGCCTGCATCTCCAGGGCTCCGACTCTATCCAGCTCCTGGACCAGCTCCCAAGTCTACTCCTGACCACAGTCTGGGCCAAGGGGACTCCTCAAGCTTTGGGACCCAGCGGGACACAGCAGCAGTCAGGGTAGGTGGCATCCCCCTCTACCCATTCCCTGGCTCCTGGGGATATCCAAGCCTTCTTGGTCCCTAGAACAAAAGGGATACCTTTCTGCGCACTGTATCTGTCAGGATCCCTTTGATTGTAAGTAGCAAAAAACAAAAACTAAAACAAACCCTATTTCATTAAAATGAAGTTATCAGCTTATGTAACCAAAGTGTTTGGTGGTAATATGGGCTTCAGGCAGGGCTTGATCCAGTGGTTCAAATGGTGCAACCAGAACCTGGTTTTTGTCTGTATTCCTTCATTCCTCTCCTTGATGATGGCTCCATGCTTAGTGGCATTTGGCATGACATAGTCAAAAGATGCCTGACAGCAGTTTCTGGGGTAACATGCTTCTAGGTTTAGATCTAGGGTTGGGGGTGGAGACAAAATCTTCCCTGATAGAACAAATAGAAGTCCTCGAGTTGATCTCAGGGTCCTATTGGCAGCATTCAGCTCATTCTGAACCTTTAACTGAGTCCACAGGACTTAGAAACACTGATGAACTGGGGGTCACAGTCTGTCCTTCCCCAACCATGTGACCAGGAATGTTGGATGAGTGTTTCCCAAAGGAATCTTGGGATCCTGCTGACAGGAGAAGGGAGACTCCTCCCCAACTAGGGAAGGCAAATAACAAATAATCATTCTAGATGGTGTCATAGATGGATGTGGACGTGCTGTGTGTCCTTGGACAAATCTCTATGCCTCTCTGAGCTTCAGTTTTCTCACCTGATAATGAACCTCACCTGGAGGGGTGCTGAGAGAACTACCTGAGATGATGTACAGAAAGGACTGACATCTGGCAGTTTCTCAGTAAATCCTTGTTCCCTTCCCCTTCTTGCTTCCCTCTCCAGGAAGTTTGGGACATCGCCGGTTTGGTTTTTCTGTTTGTTTCTTTCCTTTTTTTGAACTTGGAAGGAGCTGCCAGGGTGTATTGTGGATCAGAATCCTCACAGGCAGAACCTGAGACAAGGATTTGCGTACACGAGCTGTATTGAGGGCAGGGCCTCAGGGAAAGGGAGGAAGAGAAGAGATTGGGGTAGGAACGATAGCACAGGCAAAGTTGGGCCTTGGGCTGGTCCAGGGAATCCTGGAGCATAATTCACCCACAGAATTACCCTTCCCACCCCCTACAAGGAGGTCGGACTTTTGGGCCCCTGTATCCATCAGTCATTGGCAGTGAGCCACCCATGGGAGGGCCTGGATTGCCCAGGTGAGGTGGCCCCCATTTGTGGAGGGCAGTTCTCTAGAAAAGGGGGAGCATTGAGCTGCAGCAGCCCACCCTCAGGGCAGCTGGGGAACAGGGTGATGCACTGGCCATAGAGGGCGTCTGGGCAGCCCACCCTTTAGCGCAGGGAGGCGGAGCCTGTGTCCCTGCCTGGCCAGTTCTGGACCTCCTGAGTGTGTTGTCTCCTCTGGTTTTTGCTCCTCCTGCCTCAGAGTGCCGGTGCCTTCTACCATAAGGGGCTGGTGATGGTATGGGACCTTGGCCCCTCCTTTGGAGAAACCTCTTCCACACCCAGGCTCTGCACTTGCCCTCCACCTCTGCTGCTTCTCCTCTAGTAATTCCTCTCCTCTCCTCTGAACCTTCACCTGCAGTTCCCCCAGCCCGTGGTTTTCTGCATTAGTCCATCTTCCAGCTCCACCCTTTTCACAGATGAAAGACCAAGGCCCAGTGTGCATTTCCTCATGCATACTCTGCTGGTCACTGCATCCCAGCACCGAAGTGCATTGCTGTCTTTGTCTTGACTGCCAGGAAGCTCATAGTCGGTTTGTGGCCCATTTCTGATAAGTGCCCAGGATGCTGTGGCATGCAGTTGCTTAATAACCTTGTCTCTGGCTTCTTCTTTCTCATTGTTGCTTTGTCCTGTTTTCTTCCTCTGTTTTTCAGCATGTGCTGCTTCTGTTGTTCTCAGCAGCCTCCAATTCTTTCGGAGGGAGATGGGGTATAAATAACCAACAGGGGTGGGAAACGAAGCATTCAGTGCTGACTGCAGCCAAATGCTGGGCCCTTGCCTTCCTAGGGGCAGCTCGGGTTGGGGGATCTCCCCCAGGCCCAGGGCTTAGCCTGTCCCCAAGGAACACTGAAGCCTGCCGCGGTGACCCCAGTACAGTGCTCACTCTGCCCTCCGAGGGTCGGGACTAGCATTGTTCTGCTGCCCGCCCTGTTCCCTCCCTCTCCCCATCTTATCAGAAGCTAATGAAAGAGGCTAGGAAACCCAATCCTCTGGTAATTACATTTACTTAACGGGTATTCAAGTGGAGTAATGAGAAGTTTAATGCAGTGATTAGATTTTTCTTTAATTAATTAAAATGAGAGCCATGTGTCTTGACAGCAGACCAACTTGACCCTCTGCTTGAGAGTAGCAGAGACAGTGGGGGGCTTGGCTGGGTGCGTGGGGGGCTCAGGGACAGGTGCTGCCTCCTGCCCTGGCCCTGCTGTCTTCAGAGGCAAGCGCAGCTCTGATGCCCATCCAGGCCAGTCTCTGAATTGGCCCTTGTTTCTGAGGTTTGTAAGTGAGTAGGCCTGGGTCAAACCTGGTCACCCAGGGCCAGGGTTCCAACAGCCCATGCCCTCGGAGAGCTGAAAACTGAACCAGGATGGAGGTCTCAGACAGGAGAGTCAGCAAGCGTGGCTTAAAAGCAAGGAGCCACTGGGCTGAGCCTGTCTGCAAGGATAAACTGAAGCCTGATGGTGGTGGCCCCAGGACAGTGCACTATGACTTCCAAAGGTCAGGACTAGCATTGTTCTGCTTCCCTCTTTTTCAAAAAAGGGATTTCAGGCCCTATGACAGGAGGAGGTATTTTAGGTTGTGCATCTCAATGCCATGTGCCAGCCAACACCTTCACTTTCTTGTTCAGCCAGACCTGGGTTTACCTCCATTGGCACTGGATCACCTGGGCAAATCGAATGGGGCAGTAGGTGGACAATTGGGAAATCTGACATAACCACAAAGTACTTTTTCACTTTGGCTTGGGAGTGCTTCCACGCTAGAAGGCTGACTGTCCTCACTGTGTATTTGAAGGCTAGGTGGGGAGGCAAGGAAGAGCTTCCCTGCTTGAGCCACTTCTGCTAGGGCAGAGGGAATCTGGAAATCCCAGCATAGCTGCCTGGAGTGGAGCATAGGACCAGCCTAGCCAGGATAGAAGGCACGCATAGTAGGGGCTCAGGAGACAGGCCCTGGCCCCTGGGGGGCAGGTTATGTTATTTTCAAAGCCCTGGGTAAGGTGGTAGAGAGTCCTGGGCTTTTCACAGTGGGGGACAGAAAATGTCCCTCATTAAGACTTGACCCCAGCCCCGCACTAAACCCTGGTCCTGGACAGATTGAACCTTGATCCTGGTTCTACAATGAGCCCTGATCTCAGTTGCACACTGAGCCTTGATCCCAGCCTCACACTGAGCCCTGATCCTGAATCAACTGAACCTTCATTCGGGTCCTACACTAAGCCCTGACCCCAGCCACACACAGAGCCTTGATTCAAGCCTCACACTGAGCCCTGATCCTGAATAGACTGAACCTTGATCCTGGTCCTACACTGAGCCCTAGACCACAGCCACACACTGAGCCTTGATCCTAGCCTCACACTAAGCCCTGATCCTGAACAGACTTAACCTTGATCCTGGTCCTACACCGAGCCCTGACCCTGGCCCCACACTGAGCTCAGCATTGTTGTGAATATGCCAATAGAGAAGCAAGTGCCAGGGTAGTAGGGGTAAATGGCCCTGTTTGTCCATTCCCACTGCCAAGTCTGCTCTCTCTGGACAAGACTCCTGTGCCAGGCCCTGCACTAGGCTCTGGAATTGCCTAGATGAATCAGCTATAATCCCTGCTCACAGGGCTAGTAGGGGCACAAGCAAACAGTTGATGAGAGCACCAAGTAATCAGAGCTGAGGTGGGGGAGGCCCGGGGGACTGGCAGGGACACGGCTCTGCATTCAGAGTGTTCCTCTGGCAACAGGTGGGAGATGGAGGTACTGGAGGCAGGGACCAGTGAGGGGGCTGCGATAGAGTCCCCGAAGAGGCAAGGATGGTGCCCATGGGCAGTTTAGGGAGTCTAGGGTAAGTGTTCCCCCAGCATAACTGACTGTGACCCCCCAGACCACCTCAGCTCATGGTGAACCAAGGGACTTACCTGTGAGAGGGTTGATGGTGGGGGCACTGGGCTGATGATGACACCTTGCAAGGGAGGCAGGTGTATACATTCCATGGAAGAAGAAACAGAAGCACAGGCACTGCCTGATGCCCCTTGGCTTGAAATAGCAAGGCTGGGCACGCTCCCGAGTCTTGCCTGCCCCCAGGCCTACACGCTGGTATTGCTGGGGGTGAACTTGCAGTAGGAGCTGGGGGCTTCTTTATGATTCCTCCACTCTCGCCTCGGTGAACATAGCCTGGGCATCAGTGGGAGCAGGGGAGCCAGCCAGGGGAGTCTGGGCCAGTCAGCCTGGCATCCAGGGCTGGGGCAGGTCTTCCAGCACAGTTGAGGTTCTTGGAGCAGGGGGAGTGGGGAGGGCCTCAGTTGGGTAGGGGACGGGACATCAGGCTGAGGCCTCCGACCACAGACTCAGGGCTTGGGACTAGCCCAGGAAGGAGGATCTTCTGCCTCCTTCACCCTCCCCTCCCCACTCCGGGTCCCACCCCTGTGGATTTCCAGGCACTCACACCCATTCCCCTCCTGCCATGCTCCAGCTGCTTCCAAATAGCTGGGCTGGAGAAGCCATCCACACAGCCGCCTACCGCCCACCTGGGGAAGCCCAGGCCCCGGGAGGGTCGGGACCTGCTCAGGATCATGGGGCTCTGCCTCCTGCATTGAGGAGTCTGAAATCCCATTATCTTGAATTTACACTTTTACTTATTTATTTTTTAAAAATGAGGCTCACTGTGTTGTCACCTAGGCTGGAGAGCAGTGTTGCAATCATGGCTCATGGAAGCTTCAACCTCCTGGGCTCAAGTTATTCTCCCACTTCAGCCTCCCGAGTAACTGGGA